GATTTGGAAGCAGCCTAAGTGTCCATTAATAGATGAATGGATAAAGAAAATGTGGTACATATACACAATGGAGTACTGTTTAGCCATAAAACAGAATTAGATTCTGTGATTTGTGACAACATGGATGGAACTGGAGGTCGTTATGTTAAGTGTAATAAGCTAGGCACAGAAAGACAAACTTCACGTATTCTCACTTATTTGTAGGAGCTAAAAATTAAAATAATTGAACTCATGGAGATAGAGGGTAGAAGGATGGTTACTAGAGGGTGTAATAAGTATTAGAGCAGTGGTGGGGGAAGTGGGGATGGTTAATGGGCACAAAAACATGTTAGAAAGAATGAATAAGACCTAGTATTTGAAAGCACAGCAGGGCAACTATAGTCAATAATAATTAAATTGTACATTTTAAAGTAACTAAAAGAGTGTAATTGTATTTTTTGTAACAAAAAGGATAAATGCTTGAGGGGATGGGCTCACCATTTAACATGATGTGATTTCCACGTTGCAGTACTGTATCAAAGTATTATATATCTTATGTACCCCATAAATATATATACCTACTATGTACCCACAAAATTTAAAAATAAAAAAATTTAATAGATAATGGGCAAAACATTTGAAAACACACTTCACAAAAGATGTTATGAAATATTTTGGATTTTGATCTGGAGAAACGTTTTGAAAACATAAGACTTTTCAGTATAAAAAAGATGAATATATTTTACTATATGAATATTAAAAATAAAAGGCATCTTAAAGTGAAGGCAAGTTATAAAGTTTGTATAAAATATTATGTGTTCACAAAGTATAAAATTAATAAAGAATTGTTTTTAAGTAGAGAACAACTGATTAGTACAACTAATATAAAGCAACCTGGCCTGAAAATAAAAATATTTTATTTTTATTTGTATATGTATATCTCCATATATGTGTTTTGTATATTTGTATGTATTTATTTGAAGGCATTGGAAAGATAACGTGATTGTGAAGTAGTATGGGACCAAGATCTCAGAAAAAAGTATACACCTAGAATGGTGATCCTGGTATTTGGTTCTACCTTTTCTCCTGGTGTGTCTTTGAGTTTCTGAGGAGGTAGCTGAGAGACTGAGAGGGAGAGTAGAACTGTGCAGATTTATTAGGTTGAGGATGAAAATATTGTTTAGGATCTGCCCAGAAGAGCTATTGGTTGGGACCTTGAAGGACTACTCCCTAAGAGTAAAGGTATAAATCATAAAATGTTCAACCTCTCCTCACAGAGATTAAAGTTTCACACCACATCTCAGTCCCTGATTGGATTAAGGTGATGCAGGATTACTAGTGCACCGAGCCTAACTCTGCTTACCAGAAGTGAAAGTAAATCTTTTGAGAAAGGTGTCAGTCACAACCTCAAATTAAATCTGTGGTTATCCACATACATAGCCTGGCACTCAGTTCAGTGTAACCAGTATATGAACTAACAAAACAACATGATGGAAGAACAAGAGAGTCAACCGACAAAGGAAATGGTACCTGGATAAGAAAATTATCTGACACAGACTTTAATATATTCAAGTCATAAAGACTAAATTTAAAATTTTAGCAGAAAATTGAAAATTAAGAAAAGAACTGGTGGGAAATTTAGAATTGACAAATATAACAAAAATTAGGAATTTGATGGATTTAGATTTGGATAATATAAGAAAATAGAGCCAATTGCTAAGAAAAGGATGGAAAATACAGAAAAGAGCATAAGAGAAATAGATGATACGTTCAGAAAGTCTAATATATGTATTATGTAATTGATGTCCTAGAAGGAGGAAAATGGAGAGTCAAGTAAGGACGGGTAATGGCTGAGAATTTTTCAAATGTAACAGAGAGATATCAAACAACAAATTCATTAAGCCCTGTAATTAGGACAGGATAAATACTTTACAGTGAAAACAATACCATAGCACATTATTTGAGAAGTCTGAAAGCCCAAGATATAATCTTAAAAGCAACCAGTGAGAAAAAGTTTAACCACTCTTAAAAAAGCAACAGAAAACATAGCAGCTCATTTCTCATTGGAAACAGTTGAAACCAAAAGACAGTAGGATATGCTGAAACAGAGAAACTACCCTCCTCTAGGATGCTGTGCTCAGAAAAATAGATAAAAGTAAAATTAACACATTTCAAATGTAATATATAACCATCTGACACACTGAAAGTAGTTTTTTTCCTGATGAAAAGATTGCAGGCTCAAATGCTAACTTGTAGATGAAGTATTGAATAAAGAACACGTTAGATAATTTTAAATTAATTTTTACCGTATACTACAAAGCACTTTTTCATATTTCAGACTGATTTCTTATTTAAAACCTTTCTTTAAATAGGATTTTCACATTAAAGCATCCAGGTTTTTTTGTTTGTTTGTTTGTTTGTTTTTGTGGTCTGGAGTAGAAAATCTTGCATATATAAAACTTCAACATTAGCTAAAATAAATTCCTTTTTGTGTAGAATGACATGATTGTAAATATTAACTGCATTTCACAAATACATGGATTTGAAATACTTCTCAGTATTTGAGTCATTTACAAACTGTGTTAACTGAGACCTGGAGACCATCTAAATGAAAATCCTGAGTAGAATAGTATTCAAGGTAGGCTTTGGGGACAGTTCCCCCAAATGTTACACTATTTCAGTAGTATTGGTACCCATGAATAATACAAATTGTTTTAAAAATGAGTTTTATTGTGTATATATCAGGTATACTACATGATGTTATGAGATACATGTAGATAGTCAAAATGGTTACTATAGTGAAGCAAATAAACATTTCTATCATTTCACATAGTTACGCTTTTTTGTGTGTATGGGATATAATACAAATTTTTCATTTTGTGTATGTTCACATGGAATTATTAAGGGAGAAGGAAATGTCAAGAAAGAAGAAATTGTGATTTAAAATTCAATTTGGGTTCTATATTACTGTGCCATCAAAAATATTTAAGGTGATCCTTTTAGGTGTTTACATATGTTTGACTCTTTGGATTCAACAGCAGTGGTAATTCTTTGAAGAAATACTTATTGAGGCCAGGCATAGTGGCTCATGCCTATAATCCCAGTACTTCGGAGAGCTGAGACAGGAGGATTACTTGAGACCGGGAGCTCATGACCAGCCTGGGCAACATAGGAAGACCTCTGTCTCTATAAAAAAAATTAGCCAGGCGTGGTGATACATGCTTATAGTCCCAGCTACTTGGGAAGTTTAGGCGGGAGGATTGTTTGAGCCCAGGAGTTTAAGGCTGCATTGAGCTGTGATCATGCCACTGCAGTCCAGCCTGGGTAACAGAGCGAGACTCTCAAAAGAAATACTTGGTGGGTGCGGTGGCTTATGCCTGTAATCCTAGCACTTTGGGAGGCCAAGGAGGGCGGATCATGAGGTCAGGAGATCGAGACCATCCTGGCTAACATGGTGAAACCCTGTCTCTTCTAAAAATTCGAAAACAAAATTAGCCAGGCGTGGTGGCGGGCACCTGTAGTCCCAGCTACTCCTGAGGCAGAGACGGGAGAATGGCGTGAACCCGGGAGGCGGAGCTTGCAGTGAGCCAAGATCGCGCCACTGCACTCCAGCCTGGGCGACAGAGTGAGACGCTTGTCTCAAAAAAAAAAAAAAAAAAAAAAAAATAGTGTGTACTTTTTGCTGCCAAGTCTTTGTTAGGTGGTAGCATTACAGTGAGGATCAAACAGAGATAATTTCTTCTTTCCAGAACTTACATTCTAGTGGGTGATGTGGGATGTGACAGAAATTAAATAATCCCACAAATAAATGTAAGGTTGCACTATGTAAGAGACATTGGTATATGGTTCTGTGGAGTGGTATAATGGATAAATTGACCTTCTCGAAGTCTAAAGGAAGAAGGAAGCCATTAACAAGATCAGAATAGGTAGTGTCAGCATGTGCAAAGACTGTGGCAGGAGATAGACTGTGTGTTGGAGGATTGGAAAGAAAGCGTGTATAGCTGTACCACAGACAGCTAGAGTTGGGTAACATAACAGGGTTTCTTTGTGAAGTAATATGGAATGAGAAAAGCTGCATAGTTAAGTAGAGGCTGTGCAATGTTGATATTTGGGGGAGCATGTAAAGAAGATTGGGCTTAATCTTTAGAGCAATAGGAAGTCATTGAAATACATTATTGAGGTGGATGACATATTCAAATTTGCAGTTTGAAAAGATTGCAGTATGGAGAAGAGATCTAAGGCCATTAGTGGCTATTGGTTGATTAAATTGATTTTACTACAGTATTCTAGATAAGAAGTAATGGTAGCTTGGGCTAGAGTGGTGGAGCCAGAGATAATGGGTAGATACCTTAGGTATTTAAGAGATAAACTTGACAGAACTGGATGGTAGATGGGTATTAGATGTGAGGTAGAGAAGATATCAAAGTATTATAAGCTATTACACAACTCGCTTTCGATTTAAATGAATACATATTAAAATATATGTTTTGAAAATGTTTAGGCCGGGCGCGGTGGCTCAAGCCTGTAATCCCAGCACTTTGGGAGGCCGAGATGGGCGGATCATGAGGTCAGGAGATTGAGACCATCCTGGCTAACACGGTGAAACCCCGTCTCTACTAAGAAATACAAAAACTAGCCGGGCGAGGTGGCGGGCGCCTGTAGTCCCAGCTACTCGGGCGGCTGAGGCAGGAGAATGGCGTGGACCCAGGAGGCGGAGCTTGCAGTGAGCTGAGATTCGGCCACTGCACTCCAGCCTGGGCGACAGAGCAAGACTCCGTCTCAAAAAAAAAAAAAAAAGGAAAATGTTTAAAAGTTAAGGAGTTCCTTGAATAGATAGTAAATTATCTATATGGAGAAGATTATGAGACAAAGTGATTTTAGGAACTTTTAATGACAGCAGAAATACCTATGGTGTTATATAAAGCAGAGTAAGAAATTGTTTATAGTATGTATTCTTAATTAGATAAAATGATAGTATTAAAGCATGCTAATTATCAAAAATGACTCTTTTTGATGTATAGATACCTCAAGAAGAACATGCTGCTAATGGTCCAGAACTCCTGAGGAAAAAACGTACAACTTCAGCTGAAAAAAATACTTGTCAGCTTTATATTCAGACTGATCATTTGTTTTTTAAATATTACGGAACACGAGAAGCTGTGATTGCTCAGGTATTTCTGATTATGCACTGTTTTAGTAGTCCCCGTATTGTTTTATAATACCTTTTCTTTCCTTTAAAAATTTAAGTTAGTATATTCTCTTTTTGGGAAAAAGTATGCATTTTCAGTTGTGACGTGATAAAATGTGTAAGATAAGTACATGGATAACTGAAAGACGAGTTGGGATATTTTAGTGTCAAAAGACAGGGGTAAGACAATGATTTCCTGAAGGAGATGATGACACTGAAGTTTAGCTTTGGAAAGGGAGTTGAATTTTCATTTGTGGTCTTAAAGGACGGAAAGATGGAGGAATCCTTCCAACTGGAAGTATTTAATTATATTCTGTATTTTTACTGTATGTAGCACTTTCTTAGTTACATTATTATTTGCACTTGTGTCTTCTCAACCCTCATTAAAGTATAAGTATTTTGCGGGTACCCTTCAAAATGTCCTTCGTGTTGAAGGTACCCAGTAAGAATTTGATGAATGAACTTTTGACTGAAAGGATTTGAAATGGATAAGATGGAGGTACCACTAGTATAAATGATTCATTTTGGTGGTGAGGATGAACTTATTTTTAAACATGTGTAAAAGCTGGGTGGTTCTTCCCTTAGGATTTTGAAAATGTGAAACTAGAGCTTGAGGGAAGGGTTGCCTTGAGAGATTGAACGTGGAAAGAATGAAACCAAAGGAGAAGAAATTGGAGCTATCTGTATATGGTGAATAGGTTGAGGAAGAGAAGCTAGTGAGGAAAAACGTAATAGTTAATGAGGTAGGAGATTTTCTAGGATTTACCAAGGAAGAAATACATTTCAAGACAAAAATAGCATGAATTTATAATGAGCCCTATGAGCACAGCTAGGAATTTCATTAGCAGTGTTTGGCAGCCTGGGCTACCTTTGAAGTGATTATTGTTAATGCTTTTACTTGACCATCTTGTTTTATGTTTTTACAGTTTCTTTGAAAATAACTTTGAGAGTATATATATATGTTTTTACACAAATCGTAGCAAGAGTATTTTTTGTAAATGAAGTTAGGAAGGTTGTCTACAGAGTGGTTTAGAAGCTAGAAAGTTTAGTTGGGGGTCAGCTAGGTAAACGGATGCTTTTGGGTTTATCATCGTTTATCTCCTTGTAGAATTTAGCAAAATCTGAATGTATATTTATTATATTTGTATTATCTCCCTCTTTTCTTCCCCTACTAAAGTAAGCCTCTGTAAATTTATAGGGACCTTCTGTATTTTGTTCACCACTATATCTCCATTGCCTAAAACAGTGCCAAGAATATAGAAAGTGGTCAACAAAGCTTACAGAATGTGTACTAGCGCAGCAATAGAAGGATTAAAGTCAGGGAATGACTGTGTGTTCTGAACTGTCAGGGAAGTTCTTATAAAAATGTTTGAGCTGAGTCCGAAGGATAAATAGAGAAAGATACTCCAGGCATAGGATGTACGTGAAAAGGAATGAACATGTGACATTGTAGGATTGGATTGAGGAAACAAAACTTTTATGTGACTGAAACAAGAGTGTATGTTTGGGCCGGTTGTGGTGACTCATGCCTGTAATGCCAGCACTTTGGGAGGCCGAGGTGGGTGGATCACTTGAGGTCAGGAGTTCGAGACCAGACTGGCCAACATAGTAAAACCTGTCTCTACTAAAAATACAAAAATTAGCTGGGCATGGTGGTAGGCGCCTGTAATCCCAGCTATTCGGGAGGCTGAGGCAGGGGGATCACTTGAATCTGGGAGGCAGAGGTTGCAGTGAGCCAAGATTGCAGCACTGCACTCTAGCCTGGGCAACAGAGCAAGACTCTGTCTCCAAAAAAAGAAACAAAAAAACAAGTGGGCATGTTTGTTGTTGGCCAGAGGAGTCTGGAAAATAAAATAGAATCTCCCCTGTCAGCGCAACTCACTAATCTTTTTCATGTTTCTGTCCAGTATATAATGTTGACATTTTAAAATGTGAATGTGGTGGGACATGAATAATTATTGATTTTGAAAATGGAAATTTATAATCTTTTTCATCTTTCAACATTGCCTCTAAAATGTTCTGTTTTTTAAATCATAGATATCCAGTCATGTTAAAGCGATTGATACAATTTACCAGACCACAGACTTCTCCGGGATCCGTAACATCAGTTTCATGGTGAAACGCATAAGAGTAAGGAACTTAAATAGTTAAAAACACTTAAAAAGTGCAACAATCCAGACCATGTTTACACACACACACAAAAGCTTGCTTTTAATTTTATCTTTATGAATTAAATAATTTAAATTAAATTGTATCTGTTGATGCAGTTTTTTACTCCTGGCATTTACACATGTACACACACACAGATACTTGGGTTTATGATTTAAGAATTAAATGTATAAGGTCTTAATCCGGACTACAATAGAGGTAAAGTGTGTTTTCAGTCTGTCTGATTAACATATTATTAAGAAAGCTCTGACTCTTCAATAACTACGGATATAGTACTTGACTTTTTCCCCCTAACATTATCCCTCAGTTTCCTAAAATTTGCTTTGTACAATATTTTTCACTGTGTGTTCCATTTGGTGTTCCAGGGGAAAAAGAGGATAAATACAGTGTTTAAATAAAATTGGAAGTTGGAAAAACCCTTAATACTATAATCTTCTTGAAAATTCACAACTCACAGTAACATATATCAAGTTTTGAGAAGTCTTCAGGAAAGAAACCCATATTTTTCTAAATTTTTGACCATGAAACCTTTTTTTAGAAAAAATATATTAACATGAACAGATTCCAAAGTACTTTAGGCATTTTGAGAAAAGCTGATCCAGAGCCATAGGGTCACATAGTATTAGTTTTAATGTTATAAATTACAGGTGAATAAATAAATTACTGACAAATTTAGGCTATTTTTTCAAAAAATTTCTGAATATTCTAAATATATATGTATAGCTTTTTAAGAAACAGTATTTATATACTAAATAAACAACCGAACTTAAAAAAATCATCCTTTCACAAAAGTATTTGCCGCAGGGTTCCTTAATATTTATGCTTTCCTAGTTTTCTTCAAATATGGTTAGATAAAATGTCTATACTAGAAAATTTTAGTATATACATTCAGCCACATAGCTGTAGGTAGTCCTTAAATTTAGAAGTAGTATGATTAAATCTTAAATTGAATTTTCTTAAGGTGAAATATGATTTACTGATTTACAGTATAAGAATTGTTCATAATTAATTGCTTTCATGTATTCTGTGAGCAATATAAATTCTTAAATGAGCAAGTAACAATGATAAGAAGTATTAAGTGTTGCTGTTTAGTAGGCAGAGCAATAAAATGCTAGTAATGAAAAGTAGAGAACACCTCAACACATTTTAGTGATGCCCTTTGAGGAAAATGATTTGTATTATGAAGAAATGCATGTGTATAAGTAAATAATGTGGTAGTTGGTTGTTTTTAGACCTTAACTCTTATTAAAACTTTAGTAAAGTTTTATCTGTTGAAGTTTGTTCACAACCTATTTAAAATTTATATTCTGTCAGCAAATATTAATAAGCCATTTAAATAATAGGTAATTACAATTTAGATGCAATTTTTTCTTTTTTTTTCGAGAAGGAGTATCACTCTGTCGCCCAAGCTGGAGTTCAATGGCGCAGTCTTGGCTCACTGCAGCCTCTGCCTTCCAGTTTCAAGCGATTCTCCCACCTTAGCCTCCCAAGTAGCTGGGATTACAGGGATTACAGGCACCCGCCATCATGCCTGGCTAATTTTGTATTTTTGTAGATACAGGGTTTCATCATGTTGGCCAGGCTGGTCTTGAACTCCTGACCTCAGGTGATCCGCCCGCCTTGGCCTCCCAAAGTGCTGGGATTACAGGTATGAGCCACCGTGCCTGGCCTTAGATGCCATTTTTATTTATAGCCAGTATTAGAAAATTACTAGAAAATTTTGTTTTTATATTTAGTGGGAGAAAGCCATCTACAGCATGTCTTCAAGCATGGAGTATCTGTAAAATACAGTGTGTTTGCTTTTGAATTTTTTTAGTGTTAAATGGCTGTAACTGATTGTTTTTGGTTAATTGTTAATAGATAAACCAGATGTTCTAAAATCTATTCTTAAGCAGTTGCCCTCAATGGTGTTTTTGCCTTCCTGCTTCTGAGCCTCTTGGTTTTACTGGAGAGTACGGGTCATAAAGAGACCTGTAATTCTTGTTGTATCAACCATTATGTGATCCTCTTATTGCCAACATTTTCAAATAGACTGAGGTTTGCCTTTCAGTAAAAACATTTACTTTCATATTGTAATGCCTTAGCTTACCTGGGGAAAGCCAAATTGTTCTAGGACTTCATAGGAGACAGACAGGTCTCTGAAAGGATGCAGGGGCTAATAAATAAAAGCTTTTGTTTAGTAGAAGTCTGGTATTGGAACAGATTATTCAGATTCCGAAGGAGGAACCTGTGGTAGGAGTATAGTAGCTAAGTGTCAAAAGAAACATTCTGAAATAACTCAGTTTGAAATAGTAAAAGAAGTGAATTTGAATTAGAAAGCAAAATTCTTGCCTACAATCAGGAAAAAAAAAATAAATTTGCAGTTAGTGTGGTTTGGCCCATGTGACTCTCTAGGCAAGGAAAACCAGGAAAATGATTTGTCTGCTGAACTGACAGTCTTGGGTTTGATACCTATTTTATATTCTAGTAATTAGCTAAAGTACAGGGTTTTATATCCTTGTAGGTGTCACCATATGTAGGAGATTAGGACTAAAGGAGACTTGTTCAGATAATTAAATTTGAGAAACTATACTTCCTTTACTGAGCTTCTGAAAGCAAAACTTGTTTTTTCTTCCCAAGTGTTCAGTGTTCAGGAATCTGGTGAATACTTGCTCAGAAGTATAACATCTTCAATTTTAATTTCCCTACCTAGCCTTTCTTTTTTATTTGTTGTTATTATTTTGCCTTCTGTGATCAGCTCAGGGATGTGGGCAGTGGGAACAACCTTAGAAGCCTTAATTCAGGCCTGATTTCCATGGGAGCGTATTGTCCAGGTATATGCAGAAGAAGGTGAGCAGACATTTACACTAAAGCTCTGCTAACATTAATTACTTACTAAATTATTGTTTTGAATTTTAGATCAATACAACTGCTGATGAGAAGGACCCTACAAATCCTTTCCGTTTCCCAAATATTGGTGTGGAGAAGTTTCTGGAACTGAATTCTGAGCAGAATCATGATGACTACTGTTTGGCCTATGTCTTCACAGACCGAGATTTTGATGATGGCGTACTTGGTCTGGCTTGGGTTGGAGCACCTTCAGGTAGTTTATCATATTAAATATGTCTTAACTTACTACTTGAAACAAAGAGGAGTTTTCAGGGAATGTTGAATTTTCAAATTATAGGAGAAAGTGATGCCTTACAATATCTTAATTTATGCTACTTGAGTTAGGCAAGACTCATAAGCATAATGGAAAAGGCATAATAGATGAAGGAGCTTTTCATTTTGAAATGCATATAGGGAAATATCCTGATTCCTGACATTTGAATAGACCAAATGAAATAAATAATTTTGTGAGAAAAAGTGGTAATTCTGAAACCCAAAGGGAAATTTTATTTTTCCACAATAAAGTTAATAAATGTTATATATTTCCCCAAAATAGGGTACTTAGAATGAAAAGAGGAAAACTGTGTCTTGCTCTCTCTTCTGTGGTGAGATAAAGAGCAGAGAAATCCTCATCAAGAGTGGCAAGTAGAAAGAAAAGAAAGCCTACCTTTATTATTTTATTTCTAGCCTTTATTCGAATAAAAGGGAAGCACTGCATGAAAGAGATGTAGGCAGGAAGTCCCTGGTACCCACAGCTCCATTGACATCATCACCTGGGTTCATACTCTGCTGAGTTTCTGCCTTAGCTATGAAAGCTATTGTCATTGATAATGTTGGGATGGGACAATACCCTTCCCATTACAGTGGGGGTGGAGTGTCGTGGAGGAGCTGTGATTTACTGTATAAATTCAGTTTCCTAGTTTAGAAATCCAAATTTATTAATTGAAAGATGAGTGGAAAGGACCCCAGGCTCTTTGAATATAAATTGTGCCAAGTAGAGTTTAATCAATAGTATATTATCTTCTGAGCTATATACAACAAATTCTCCTTCTGATAATTCATTTCTATGTTTAAAAAAAAAAAAAAACTGCTTTATCCAGAGTAATAGAAACTTTTGTATTCCTATTCTTATTAGTTTATTCTTTGATTTGTTTTGTATATTTTAAGATCTTAAGTAGTTCTTTATTTTCCTTAATTTATATTTTTCTCCTTTTTTAAAAGTCATTATTTTAAGTCAATATTTTTACAATTGCCATAGCTTCTTTTGTTTTTCTTCTATGTTTTAAAGTGTACTCAATTTCATGATGTCATTTTAAAGTACAAGTTTATGTCATGGGCTGCATATTAATAGTGCAGTACTTTTGGATATTTGTCTTTTATGATAATCTGTGCTTTTTTTGTTACTTGGATTGGTCAGCAGATTGTACAGCTCACTCTTTCCTGTGATTTTTCATGTGTAAAACTTCTATACTCTGAAATCTCTTTGCCCCTTCAATGTTTGGATGATTTTATCACAAAGTTTGTGATTTCTTCTCCCTATTCATTAGTAAGTACTATTAAAAACTCAGGGTCTCATATGATTTTATTTGTATATATCCATTAATACGGTAGTTCTGAAGTCTCAAATGAGTGGTTCTCAAAGTGTGATCCATGGACTAGCACCATCATCATCACCTAGGAACTTGTTAGAAATATAAGTTCTTAGGCCGTACCCGGGTCTCTTGAATCAGAAACTATAGGTGTGGAGCCCAGCAGTCTTAGTTGGAACAAATTCTCAAAGTGATTCTGATGCACACTGAAGTTTGAGAAGCACTACATTAATATTGTTGTCTCTAAAGCTTGCTCACAAAATGCCTCCTGGGTAAGTGAGTTTGGTCTTAAACTAAAAACTTCCTGCCATTTTGCATTTTCAGTTATAGACTATTGTATTTAAGGATGTAATGATTCTGTGGGAATTTGGTAAAATTCTTCCTAAATCTTCAGATATTCTCACATCTTTAGATTCAGCTACTTATTTTTTTTTAAAGTAGGCTTTATTTTTTAGAACAGTTTTAGATTTACAAAAAATTGAACAGATTAGATATTCTCAAATCTCCATCCTCCCTCCCCTGACAGTTTGGGGGAGTACTGGTCAGGTACATTTTAGAATGGTCCTCATTTGGAATCTGTCTGATGTTTTCCTCATGATTAAACTGTAGTTATGGGTTTTGGGGACACTCAGTGTTTATGTCTCATTGTTTGTGATAATTGGATCACCATTTGTGATGCTGCTCATTTTCCCGAGTTGGGCAGAGTTTTGGATTGAAAATGGTGGGGCATGTTACTTGTATTTTCTTTTCTGTCTTTTTTTTTTTTTTTTTGAGACAGTCTTGCTCTGTCACCCAGGCTGGAGTGCAGTGGTGTGATCTCCACTCACTGCAAGCTCCACTTCCTGGGTTCACACCATTCTCCTGCCTCAGCCTCGTGAGTAGCTGGAACTACAGGCGCCCACCACCGTGCCAGGCTAATTTTTTGTAGTTTTAGTAGAGACAGGGTTTCCCCATGTTAGCCAGGATGGTCTCGATCTCCTGACCTCGTGATCCGCCCGCCTCTGTATTTTCATTATTAGGGTCTTCATAAAGGTGAAACAAGATACTTCCTGTGTACTTCATGAGCAAAAATATGGTGATTGGCAACCAAAATAGAAAACTGAGACTCCTGTTATTAACCTTCTATCCCCATTTTCCCCGCCTCTGCCTTTTTTCCTTTTATATTATTATCTCTCTTTATTTCAGACGTTAGATGTCTGCTTCGATTACTCTATGTTAAACCCCTAACTTCAGCTCTTGGAAGCCATCTTCTTTTTTTTTTTTTTTTTTTTTTTTTTTTGAGACAAGAGTCTAGTTCTGTTGCCCAGGCTGGAGTGCAGTGGCGCGATCTCGGCTCACTGCAAGCTCCACCTCCCGGGTTCACGCCATTCTCCTGGCTCAGCCTCCCGAGTAGCTGGGACTACAGGCGCCCACCACCGCGCCCGGCTAATTTTTTGTATTTTTAGTAGAGACGGGGTTTCACTGTGATCTCGATCTCTTGACCTCGTAATCCGCCTGCCTCGGCCTCCCAAAGTGCTGGGATTACAGGCGTGAGCCACCGCGCCTGGCTTGGAAGCCATCTTCTAAGAGCTGCTGGGGAGGGGCTAGGCAGGCACAGAAGAATAGAGACCAGAGTGGGAAAGAAAAGGGATCTTTGTTCCTTTGGTCCAGCTTTTTCTAGTGTAGGTTATCTGCCCTGAAATAACGTTGCCAGCTTTCTTCTTCACTTGTCTTTGCCCTTACTACTAGCTGAACTGAGTTTCATATTTGACTTAATTTTTTTCTAAAACAGGGAATGTTATATATTTAGTCTTGATTATTTCAATACCTTTATGAGGTGTAGGTATTATTGTCTCCCCTCTACAGATGGGGAAACTTGTGTTCAGAAACTTTGTGACCAACCTAATATCACACAGCTAGAGGTGGAACAGGATCTGGAATCTGGACCTTTTGACTCCAGATTCAGTTCATTTGGTAATTATATTACTAGGTATTTTATATGTGTATAAATAAAATCTACACACACACACACACTAACATCCTAGCCTTTTCTTAGATGTTTCAAATAAGCAGCTGAAATGTTTTCTGCTTCTTAGTAGAGGTTATATATTGATGGAATATGTTTTCTTCTTTCTTGAGAGAGAATAGTTATAAAATCATACTAAGCTATAATATTTTGATACAATTTTGGGTAATTGTCATGGCATAATGGGAAGAGCAATGGATTGAGAGGTGGGAGACAGGATTCTTGTCTTTTCTCTGTCTGTAAATTCAGGAAAATAATTTTTCTTCTGGTTGTTTATTTTTTTCATTGTAGTTCTATCTTTGCTCTTCCTTTGAGTCTTCATGTTTCTACCTATAGGTCTTATCAGTTAACTGAATGAACAGAGTCTTGGTTCGGCCTGATCATTGAATGAGGCTGGCTTTGGAATTCATCTCTGTAGTTAGTCCTGAAACCTTTAGTACTCCTCTATTTGTGAAGAATATTTTTTGAGGCATTTCATTTGGTAGAAATAGTCTCTTCTGGTTTTTTAGATTCGATGTTTTAGTTTGATATTACATATTAAAATTTGAGAGCGTAGAGAACTTAACACAGGGTTCTCGGGAAAACCCACAGCTTATTCCTAACCCATAGTTTAAAAGTATAATTTCAAATGTTGGGAAAATTACATCATTAGAATATTGCAATAGAACACTTTCTATTGGCATTTTGTGCTTGTCTGGACCCCTTGTATATTTAACATCTTTGATCCCTACCCATTACATGTGAGTAGTGCTCTCCAGACTTGAAAGCCAAATGACTGTGCTCTCACATTTCCTAGTAACACTTCTGGGAGTAGTACTATGGTCTGGTCCAGAATTACTGCTCAGATTAGTATTGTATGATCAGCATGTTACTATTAGTTTTTGGCCTCCTCACATCAAAACTGTATTTATGGAATATGTCAAGGTATCATATTACTCTTGTATTTTTTTCTAAGACTTTTTTTTTGGGGAGTGGGGTGGAGTTGGTCTGTTTTGAAGTTTAGGACGGATACTCTGACGGATAGCTCTCAAACTATCCTGCAGATAGAAAATTGTCATTATACTTCTTTGTTGCTTATTGACTCATTCATCAATAATTACTTTTGACCTGAATTTAAAACATTTCACCCTTCTCATTGTTATTCACAACTTATATTTGTCAGTGATGAATATATGTATAATAAAATCTTAAATTTAAAATATGTAGCAATTGAGTTTGAGTCAATGGTTTAGCTGTGGGTATATGTAATACCTCATTACTGAGTTTTCTGGCATATCAAAACTAGTTGCAGTATTTAAAAAATTAAACCATAACTTTCAGAGTTACAAATAGTATTTTATTTCTTCCTGTATAATTAAGTTTCTCCAACATATGCTGTTAGTCTGCAACAAATATTAAACTTCCATTGATCGACTGATTGATTGATTGATTGAGACAGAGTCTCGCTCTGTTGTCCAGGCTTGAGTGCAGTGGCATGATCTCTGCTCATTGCAACCTCCACCTCCCGGGTGCAGGTGATTCCCCTGCCTCAGCCTCCGGAGTAGCTGAGATTACATGCATGTACCACTTCGCCTGGCTAATTTTTGTAATTTTAGTAGAGATGGGGTTTCAACATGTTGGCTATGCTGGTCTCCAACTCCTGATCTCAGGTGATCCGCCTGCTGCGGCCTCCCAAAGTGTTGGGATTACAGGGGTAAACCACTGTGCCCGGCTATTTTAAACTTTCATATAAGCAATAATCATAAAGACCAAAAACAGTTTTTAAGAAGCAATATATAAATTACTATATTTCAGAATAGTATATTCTAATTTATGTATACTCTTCTCTTAAATTAACCAGACCCTAAAAGTGCATAAAAATGTATATTATCAGAGATTTAAAAATATGCCTATTTACCTTTTTTTTTTTTAACTGATAAAAGATTTGAAGTGTGGAGTCTTCTATGCTTAATTCAAGTTTGACAGTACTGCATTGGACCAATATGCACGTGACAAATCTTCACTAAGGCAGGATATTAATTTACTATTTGTTTAAAACTATGCTGTGTGTACAATAATAATTATATACAGAATACTTATTTATATATTTTCTGGTTTCCAGAAATAATGATGTGTTCCTCAGGACTCAGCTCCAAAAGTAGAACTAGCTTAGGAAAATATAGTAAATACTGACAAATTATTTGGTATTTTCTCTCTACTCAGTTGTCAATGTAGAAAAGGTAGTAAATTTTGAATATCATAAAGGTTCTCAACCCCTTGCTGGGTTAAATTTGCATATGACTCAGTCTTTTAGTTTACTTTTCTTTGAAACACAGTTTTCATTTCAGCTTTCTGAATTATATAGTAACAGTAATTCAAATTTGTGTTTTGTTGCCATATAGTTTTCTTATATTTAAGGGGAGCAAGGCAACAGTCATAGTATAATACCTTCTTGCAGACCTATTTTGAATTGCGTGCTATTACATGCTTTATTAGTGATTCTAAATATTAGACTTGTTTTTGAAGCGGGGCAGAATGGGAAGGGGAGGAGAAGCAATATTAGACTTTTTTTTTTAAAAAACAGTTTAGTAACTTTGTTGTAACTTGTGTATAGAAAGCTAATTTGAGCAGTTATCTTAATACCCTTATCCATTTGATTGTATTTCGTTTAAAAATCAAATAGGGAAAAAACTTTTAAGTATAAATATAAACTAAATAACTTCTCACTGAAAATCTTAATAATAAAGTTAATTAAAAGAAAATATGATCTTACCAATATAATGTCTATATAAAGGCATGAATTGACCAGACATTTTCTGATTTTCCTATTATTATTTTTCCAGTTTCTCATAATTGATTTTAGCTGTGAGAGCACTGTCATTTTGCTATTAAATTCTAAAGTCACTGTTAATGAACAGATGAAGTACAAAATGATAAAAATATTTAAGTGGAAATATGGCTTTTCTTTTAAATTTTTATAGTGCCCTAAAGACGTATTGTAACAATCATAATTCAGTTTTTAAATTTATTTTGAAAATTTCAAGCCTGCGGAAAGGTTGCAAGAATAGTATGGTGAAATTCTTCTTCTTCCCTTTTTTTTTTTTTTTTTTTTTTTTTAAGACAGAGTCCCACTGTGTCACCCAGGCTGGAGTGCCGTGGCACAATCTCAGCTCACTGCAACTTCCACCTCCCGGGTTCAGGCAGTTCTCCTGCCCGAGTAGCTGGGATTACAGGTGTGCAACACCACACGCAGCTAATTTTTGTATTTTTAGTAGAGATGGGGTTTCACCATGTTGGCCAGGCTGCTCTCAAAGTCCTGACCTCAAGTGATCCACCTGCCTCGGCCTCCCGAAGTGCTGAGATTACAGGCATGAGCCACTGCGCTGAGCAGTGGTGAATTCTTGATAGATTAATCAATCATTAACCTTTTGCCGCATTTGCTTTCTATCTCTTCCTTCCTTCCCACCCGTATTCTCTTTTTCCTTCTTTCCTCCACCCCCTCTTTTTTTTTTTTTTTTTTTTTAAACTTTCTTGACATAATTATTTTCTTTTTTTACAAATACATTGTATGTTGTATCTCAGGACATGTACTCATGTGCCTCACTGCTTTTTGTAGAAGTGACTTTCTCAGAATCTTCTTGAGGATATTTTGTTCAACTTTCATTTAACTTAAAATCATAAGATTTCTTTTTAAAAGATGAGAGGAAGTACACTTTGACTCAGTGTAAATATTGATATATTCAAATTGAAAGGAAATGTAAATATTTGTTTTCCTAAATTAATGGGAACAAAATTTGGGGGACATTTTGATTATGAAGAACATTTTGTGAAGATTGTGTACTCAGTCCTGGAAGTTTCTTTATGAGTGTCATTAAAACTTTTATTTGAAGTGACTTCTTAGTCTTGGACCAAAGAAACTTTCGCGTATGTGATACGTTTGAGTACCAGTTCTATTTTAGATTAAAATATAAAATGTTTTCATTTAATATAGCATATATTACCTTTTTAGGGGATAAGGGGAAATAGATGCTAACTTAACCATTTTTTTTGTTCTGGATTAGGAAGCTCTGGAGGAATATGTGAAAAAAGTAAACTCTATTCAGATGGTAAGAAGAAGTCCTTAAACACTGGAATTATTACTGTTCAGAACTATGGGTCTCATGTACCTCCCAAAGTCTCTCACATTACTTTTGCTCATGAAGTTGGACACAACTTTGGATCCCCAGTAAGTATTGTCTAATTATTAGCTTAAAAAATACTTATTAGTCTGAGTTTTGTGTTGAGTGATTTATTTTACATTTACAGTGAAAACAAATGTACTTACGAGTGTTTACTTTTTATGTCAGAGCACGGTAATGTATTTGACCATACTGAAAGGGAGGAAGATAGAATGTTTGTGATTAAAATAAGAAAAGTAAGCATAACAATGCCAGAATTCTGTGAAGGCAAGGAATTTCATCTGGCTTATTCAGACAAAATAATATCTGTATCTCCTGGCCCTAGAACAATGCCTAGTACCTAATGTACTCAAATATCTTTTGAATGAGAATCATTATTCATTGTTTAAAAGTACATTTTGAATATTCAGCAAATTGTGAGAAATTTTTTTTTGTTTTGTTTCTGTTAAAGCATTTTTAGGGAATGAGATATTTAAAAATCTTTACTGTGGAATGAGATTGATATTTTAAAGTCTTTTATCTACTGTGGAATGAGATTGATATTTTAAAATCTTTTATTATGAGAAAATTCTAATATACTTAAAAGTAGAACAAATAGTGCAACAAAGCCTTACATGGCCATGATTTAGAAAAAGGATCAGCAAACATTTTCTGTAAAGGGCCTGCTAGTAAACATTTTAGGCTTCAGGGGCAGCGTTTGGTTTCTGTTGTACGGTCTTTGTTGCTTTTACAATTTGTTAAATGTGGAAAAGCCATTCTTAGTTAAGCCATATAAAAACAGGCTGCTGGCTACTTTGTCAACCCCTAATTCAGAGCCAATAATTGTGAAGATTTTGCCATAACTTCTATCTGTATTTCTTTCTTTTTCTTTGCCATTTAAAGGAACTCTGTTTATCCTTACATATTTCAGCATATATTCCTGAAAAAATAGACATTTTCTAATATAACCACAATGTGGTTATTATACCTAACAAAATTAACAACAATCTTTGGTATTATCTAATACCCAGTCCATTATATTGATCTTTTAAGTGATCTTAAATATCAGTACAACACAGAAATATTTAATACTGAATGATATTCTCTCTTTGTGATTTTGGTAGAGCTTATTAAAGATAACATTTTGGAAATGTACACTTGAGAACTGTATAGAAATTCATTTTACTTTCACCTTATCACTTGCAAAAGTGCAAGTTTTTATGATTTTTAAAAGTAAGTCATCTACTTGTAGCTTAAAATCCCCAAATGCACTTCTCTAATTTTTCCCATGTTTGTAAAATAGGTGCCATCTCACTAAGTTGCAAGTCTTTCTTCTTCTACGTCCCAATCAGAAATTGATAGATTATTATTAATGTTCTTGTATAAGGTATTTAAAATGTGCTTAATCTCTGTAACTCTTGACTGCTTTTGTGATCTGTTCTAAAAAGAGTACTTGGAATTTTAGAGATGAGCAGAGAATTATTGTTCATAGTTGATTTGCATTTTCAAGAGCAAGTCATCTTGGTTCCAGGCCTTACCAGGTGAATTTTAGTACCCTTCCAGCTACTTGTCTGGCCTATAGTCCCAGGTCACTCATTTTAATGTGCATATATATCACCTGAGAATCTTAAAACACAGATTCTTTTTTGGTAGGTCTTTGATGGGGCCTGAATTTCTGTATTTGTAACATGCTCCCAGACAATGCTGCTGCTGCTGGTACTCATCTGTGAACTGCACTTGTAGGGAATCTAGACCTTTCTCTTTTCACTTCTTGTCTAGTCTCCTTCCTACCTAACTGCCAGTGAGATGTTTTTATTAAATTAATGTTATATTATTGTTCAATGGAGAAATGGAGAAATTGGTTCACATTATTTGCCTACCACGCTCAATTATACCTCATTCTTTTGCACATGTTGTTAATTCTGCCATCTGTATCCATAGTAGATGGTTGTCTTCATCTGTTTTGTGTTATAAGGGAATATCTGACGGTAGGTAATTTATAAAGAAAAGAGGTTTATTTGGCTCATGATTCTGTAGGCTGTACAAAAAGCATGGTGCTGGCATCTGCTCACCTTCTGGTAAGGGCCTTAGGCTACTTCCACTTATGATGGAGGTAAACAGGTGGTGGCATGTGCAGAGATCACATGGCGAGAATGGGGGCGGTGGGAGCGTGGGGTCGGGGAGAGGGGGTACTAGGCTTTTAACAGCCAGCTCTTGCAGGAACTAAGAGAGTGAGAATGTACTCATGCACCCACCTCCAACCCTTCGGGAAGAGCATTAATCTATTCATGAGGGATCTGCCCCCATGACCCAGGCCTCTCTTGTTAGGCCCCACCAACAACATTGGGATCAAATTTGGGGGGACAGACATCCAAATTATACAATGCTTAATAAATATTTGTTGAGTAACTTAATAGTAAGATCAGCCAGACTCATAAACACCTGAACCCGTCTCCCTTAACATCTTTATCTGAAATCTCTTTCTCTCTTACACATTTGTACTAATGTCAATGTTACTTTTTCTGAGCGGTTCACATTATTTCTTATATTTATTTATCCTATCTGAAATATTTATTGTGCATCTATTATAAACTGCTTTATAAACTTTGTTGTGGAAAGTTTTAATCACAAATGAGACAAAGTTCCTGTCTTTCAGGGTGAAAATTCTAATATGTACCTACTCTCACCAGATTCACCTTTGTGTAAATACAGTGCTAATAATACCACTTCTGCTTACAAACTTCTACTACTTTCTAATATTGCTGATACAATTTCCTTATCTTAATGTTTAGGGTGTTTGATGATTTGGGGTTTAAGAATATTTCTAGTGTTATCTCCCCTCATCTGTCAAATTAAGTAATTCACAGACCTTTAAAACTTTCCTCCACTAGGAAGTCAGTTCCTTCCCATGTCTGCCTATTGAAATCTTGATCCATGTTGTTATATGATGTAAATGAATATGGCCCTTTATAAAAATTAAGAAAATATAACCATTGTAGTTTTATTTATAATACCAAAAAGTTTTAAGCAGCCTAGATGGCCCTACAGTATGAAAATACCACGGAATGTTCTGCAGTCATTTAAATATCAAGTTTTGCGGTGCTCATTTTATACTGTTAAGCTGAAAGAAAGGTGTGTATAACTGTACACCTGGAGGGTGGCTGTGGTGACTCACACCTGTAATCCTAGCACTTTGGGAGTCCGAGGCGGGCAGATTGCTTGAGCCCAGGAGTTCGTGACCAGCCTGGGCAACATAGCGAAACCCTGTCTCTACCAAAAATACATACAAAAACCATTAGCTGGGTGTGGTGGCCTTTACCTGTAGTCCCAGCTACTTGAGAAGCTAAGGTCGGGGAGGATGATTTGAGTCCAGAAGGCCAAGGTTGCAGTGAGCCAGGATCACGCCACTGCACTCCAGCCTGGGGGACAGAGTGAGACTCTTGTCTCAAAAAAAAAAAGTTATAACTGTACACATGGTATAGTCCAAACTTTATATTAAAATATGATATAGCTCAATATAAGTCAGATAGGAAATATATCAAAATTTTAATAGTTATCGTGCATGGTAGATTATGATTGAGGTTTTTTTATGTATTTTTTTGTTTTCTTAATTTTCTTTCTTATAGTTAGAAAAATTTTTCTGTTTTCTTGTCAAACAGATTATAGTTTCTTTGTGAAACCTTTCTCTTGATTTGAACTCTCAATACTTGTGCGGGTCCAGTCAAGATGGCCTTTATGTTCTATTTTATGTTTTGCTTATTCATGTGCTTGTTTTATTCGTTATCTGAGGATGGCAAATAGCTGGCATGCTTGCTTACAATCTGTTCTCCCTTTTATTCCTGTTAATGATGATCTATTACAATATCCCCTGGCCTAGTAAAATAATATTTGACTAGCAATGTCTGTAATGGATTTATGCAGCAGCGGTCAGACTGAGTAGATATGTCAAGATTTGCTATCCTTTAAAAATAGAATGTAAGTGCCTTGAAGGCTAGGGATAATACTTTTCTCATCTTTATATTTTTAGATTTTAGTGCCTCCTTTTATAGCACTGGACATTCATTAATATTTACGGAATTGAAAAGTGGCAAGATATTCTGTGATGACCTCAAGAGTTATACAGAGTTGGGATTTTTTTCTTTCCTTCCTAAAACTCTAATGCTGAGAATAATTCTAGTGCTATACCTTTTTCAGAAACTGCATTATGTTTTTAGGAATAAAACATAAAGCAAGATAATTTTGGTGAACAGTATAGAGTTGTTAAATGCTGAATCTAGATTCAGGAGAAAGGCAAGAGGTATCAGGAAGAATAAAAGTGATAGTAGAGGACACGTTTTTTAATTTAACAGTTGCCTCAGAAGAGGGAATAGAAAATGAAAGTAACTTAGTTGGGCTCCAGGAAAAAGCAGAACGCCCTTGGGTAGTCTTTTTCTATCTTGAGAGTGGAGTTGTTGGGTATTTAAAACAAGATTTTAATTAAATAGCACTATTACTCTAGTGTCCAGTGTTTTTTGCTCCTTCCGATGTGTTGTAGTTGTTTGAGGGGCATTGTGAGGGTTTTTTGTTTTAGTGCATATCCCCCAGGATGGCAGGGGCTGCTGGGATCTGGTAGTAGTGTTCTGTTGCTTGATCTCATAAGCATTACTTTGAGAAAATTCAGGGAGCTATGCTTTGGTATTTTTCTTTTCTTTCTTTTCTTTTTTTTTTTTTTTTTGAGACAGAGTCCCGCTCTGTCTCCCAGGCTGGAGTGCAGTGGCGCGATCTCGGCTCACTGCAAGCTCCGCCTCCCGGGTTCATGCCATTCTCCTGCCTCAGCCTCCCGAGTAGCTGGGACTGCAGGCGCCCGCCATCACGCCCGACTAATTTTTTGTATTTTTAGTAGAGATGGGGTTTCACCGTGTTAGCCAGGATGGTCTCAATCTCCTGACCTCGTGATCCGCCCGCCTCGGACCCCCAAAGTGCTGGGATTACAGACGTGAGCCACCGCACCCGGCCTATTTTACTCTATGTATCTGACACTTCAGTAAAATTTATCAAAACCAAACACCACTTATGTGCATGTATATGTTACATATACACAGAACTCTGTTTCCTGTTTATTCGGCAAAGCACTATTTTGGTTTTATCTCTAGGCTTTTACCATTTTTCATTTAAAAATATGTCATTGTGTTTCTGTTCCTAGTCAGCATTTTTACTTATCTTTCTTATGTACTGGCTATTAAGTTAGCTGTCTTAGATTCCTGTTCTGTGTATATTTAGCCCCATGCCAGTCTCTTGATTCTTTTGTCTTTCCCCACCTCTATCTTCTCTGAACTAGTCATAACATGTAATTTAACGTATATGTTAGAGACTATTTAGTAGTTTTAAAGTAGTTTATTTTACTGTTACTGGTTTTAAGAGTAAGTGAGCTTATTTTTAATAGACTTTTATGACTGTCTGTCCTCAATTCTAGTCACTGCTTACAAAGTTATAAATTGTTCTGGCTAGAGCTCCACTGATTTTCCTTCTTTTCTAAGACAATGACCCCTAAAAGTGCAAATTCTTTTCCTACTCAAGGTGTAAAACAATTGTAAGATTCTTTTTAAAGGAGAGTCCACAAGCTTCCATTGTTTTCCTGATGAGAACATTACATTTAATCAGTTGACCTGAAAACCTTATTTTACTTCCTGTTTATGTAACTTTATATTCTTTTTGACAGCATGATTCTGGAACAGAGTGCACACCAGGAGAATCTAAGAATTTGGGGCAAAAAGAAAATGGCAATTACATCATGTATGCAAGAGCAACATCTGGGGACAAACTTAACAACAATAAATTCTCACTCTGTAGTATTAGAAATATAAGCCAGGTTCTTGAGAAGAAGAGAAACAACTGTTTTGTTGGTATGTATATTTTCCTAACATTTTGTTATGAACATTTTCAAACATTCAGACAACTTGAAATAATTCTACAGTGATTACTGACATACCCACCACCTGCATTTTACTATTGCTAACACTTTGCTGTATGTCCTTTATCTCGTTATTTCTTAATCTTGCCATGTCTCAATTCATGATGTATTGCAATTTAAAGTAAGTTGCAGCCATCAGTATGCTTCACACTTAAGAACATTTTAGTCTACAGATCATTAACTAGAGTTCAATAGTGTTTATGGTTCTTTTTCTGTTTTCTACGTAAGTGAAATGCACAAATTTTAAGTTCATCATTTGATGAATTTTGACAGAGGCATTTACCTGTGTAAACTACCTATCAAGATACAGGACGTTTCTGTCACCCCAGAACTTTCTTTTATCACCCTTCCCAATCAAGCTCTGTCCCAACACACCCTCAGAGGCAACCGCTATCTGATTTATTTCACTATACATTGGCTTTGTCTTCATGTAAGTGGAATTACACAGTTTGTACCCTTTTGTGGAAGGCTGTTTAACTCAGCATACAGCTCTGAGATTCGTCATTAGTATTTTGCTCCTTTTTATTGCTGAGTAGTATTACATTGTATGAGTATGTCTTAGTTTGTACATTTACTCTCCTATAATGAATACCTTGGATTTGGGATAATGTGAATAAAGTTACTACGAGAGTATTTCTTATTTTAGCAAAATATATGTAACATAAAATTTGCCATTTTAAACTGATTTTAAATGTACAGTACTGTGACATTAATTATATGTACAGTGTTGAATGTGAATGTAATCAATTATATTCCCTATTCATTTGCAAACTTTTTCATCATCCCAAACAGAAATTCTATAACCATTAAGCAGTAATGCTCTCTCTTCCTCTCAGCCCCTGGTAATCTCTAATCTACTTTCTGTCTTTATGAATTAGCCTATTTTGGGTATGTAAGTGAGGACATACAATATTTGTTCTTTTGTGCCTGTCTTATTTCACTTAACATAATATTTTCAAGGTTTATGTGTGTTGTAGCATGTATCAGAGTTCCATTCCTTTTTATGGCTGAATAATATTCCATTGTATGTATAGACCAGATTTTGTTCTTCCAATAATCTGTTATGTCTTTCTTGTGGCATTGTACATACTCTAAATATTTACTTTGTATTAGGGTTTTTTTGTGTGTGTGTCCTTGTCCTATTTCACATAGGTTTCTTTAGGGGAAACACTGAGGCCTATTCATCTTTGTACATTAAGAGCACTTAAAGAGGGGTTAAACATGTGACAGCAAAGGAGAAAGAATTGAGGAAGATTTCCAGATAAACATGGGATTTTGTTTTTAATTGCAATTTTATTGAGACGATTATAGATTCACATACAGTTCATAAGAAGTAATATATTCTCTGTACCCTTCACTCAGTCACTCAGTTCCCTCCAATGCTAATGCCTTGCAAGACTGTAGTACAATATCATGACCAGGATGTTGAGATTCAGAAAATCCATAGATCTTATTCCAATTTCCCTAGTTTTTTTGTTCTCATTTCTCTTCGTGTATATTTAGTTCTATACAATTTTATTACATGTGTAGATTTATGTATCCACCGTCACAGTCAAGAGTCAGAACAGTTCTGTCATTATAAGGATCCCTCATTGTTTTATAACCATGCTTACCTCCCTTCTGTTGTTCCTCCCTCTGCCTACTACCCTGTTCTCCATATGTAAAATTGTGTCACTTCAAAAAAAAGTTATATAAATAAAATCAGATAGTATACAACCTTTTGGAATTGCCTTTTTTCACTCAGCATAATTCCCTGGGGATTCATCTAAATTGTTGCTTTATCAATAGTTCGTTCTGTTTTATTTCAGAGTAGTATTCCATGGTATGTATGTACTGCAGTTTGTTTAACCATCCATTTGAAAGACATCTGGGCTGTTTCCAGTGTTTGGCTATTATGAATAAAGCAGCTGTAAACATTCATGTATAGGTTTTTTGTATAAATATAAGTTTTTACTTTGAGATAAATGCTCCCAAATCTAGTTATTGGACCATATAGTAATTGCTTGTTTTGCTTTGTACAAAACTGCCAAACTCTTTTCCGGGGTGGCCATACTATTTTATGTTCTCACCAGCACTGCACAGATGTTCCAGTTTCTCTGCATCTTCACAACCATTTGATGTTTTCACAGTTTTTTATTTTAGCTGTTCTGATGGGCGTGTTGTGATATCTCATGGTTTTAATTTGCATTTCTCTGGTGGCTAATGATGCTGAACATCTTTTCATGTGCTTATTGGCCATTTATAAATCATCTTTGATGAAATGTCTGTCCATGTTTTTTGGTCATTTCTAGTGGGACTTTTTTCTTTTCTTGGGAGTATTGAGAGTTCTTGATACAGTCTAGATACTAGTCCTCTGTCAGATACTGGTTTCCAAATATTTTCTCCCTGTCTGTAGCTTGTCTTTTCACCCTTTTCACAGTTCTTTCTTGAGCAAAAGTTTAAAATTTTGATAAGGTCCCAGTAATCAGTTTTTTATTGTATTGATTGGCCTTATCTTTAAAGCCTTCTTTTTCTAAGGGCAGATTGAAATTCCATTGATATTATAATTTGTTACTGTTATTATCAGTGGTTGTTTTTCTAATGCTTCTTAATGTACAGGTACATTAAGATTCTTCATTTGTAAACTGGATTTTCACAGTAAACCTTCTGATATAAGTTGACTTTTAAAAATGTACATATTGCTTTGTAGGTATTAACAGGAAAGAAAATTTTTTCTTAAATTATAACAAAATGTGTACCTATTATAATTTTTGCATTTAAACAATATTTTTAGGCCAGGCAGGGTGGCTCATGCCTGTAATCCCAGCACTTTGGGAGGCCAAGAGAGGCAGATTGCTTGAGGCCAAGAGTTTGGAACCAGCCTGGCCAACATAGCGAAACCCTGTCTCTACAAAAAATAAAAAGATAAGCGAGGTGTGGTGGCGTGCGCCTGTAGTCCCAGCTACTCGGGAGTCTGATGCACAAGAATTGCTTGAACCCAGGAGTTGGAGGTTGCAGTGAGCTAAGATTGTGCCACTGCACTTTAGCCTGGGCAACAGAGCGAGACTCTATCTCAAACAAACAAATAGTACCTTCACTGTTGTTTAAACTGTTAGCAAATAACTAACTTGAAGTACTAATTTTATATGAAATAAAAATGTGTAGTAAATAATGTGTCTAACATTTTCTGACTTCATTATTTTTCTTCTAAATTACGTGTCATGTAAATTATAAAATTATTACTAGACTCATAAAAATCATTATTTACCTAGTATATGTGTGCAGATGCATACTTCTAGTTATTTTTGGTTTTGTTTTGCTTTTTTTTTGAGACAGTGTCTCACCCTGTCACCAGGCTGGAGTGCAGTGGCACGATCTCGGCTCACTGCAGCCTCCACCTCCCAGATTCAAGCAATTCTCCTGCCTCAGCCTCCCGAGTAGCTGGAACTACAGGTGCGCACCACCACGCCCAGCTGATTTTTTTGTATTTTTAATAGAGACAGGATTTCACCATGTTGGCCAGGATGGTCTCGATCTCTTGACCTTGTGATCTGCCTGCTTCGGCCTCCCAAAGTGCTGGCATTATAGATGTGAGCCACCTCACCTGGCCTTTTTTTTTTTTTTTTTTTTTAATTTCACTTTAAGTTCCAGGATACAAGTGCAGAATGTGTAGGTTTGTTACATGGGTATACGTGTGCCATGGTGGTTTACTGCACCTATCAACCTGTCATCTAGGTTTTAAGCCCTACATGCATTAGCTGTTTGTCCTAATGCGCTCCCTCCCCTTACTCCCTACCCCTGAACTGGCCTTCGTATGTGGTGTTCCCCTCCCTGTGTCCATATGTTCTCATTGTTCAACTCCCACTTATGAGTGAGAACATGTAGTGTTTGGTTTTCTGTTCCTGTGTTAGTTTGCTGAGGATAATGGCTTCCAGCTTCATCCATGTCACTGCAAAGGACATGATCTCATTCCTTTTTATGGCTGTGTAGTATTCCATGGTGTATATGTATCACATTTTCTTTATCCAGTGTATCATTGATGGGCATTTGGGTTGATTCCATGTGTTTGCTATTATAAATAGTGCATGCTTCTAGTTTTTGAGAACAAAAGAGATGGCTTAAAGTGAAACAGAGGTGAAGCTTCAATAACCTCCAAGATTTTTAAAAATAGTTGATGTGGTTAAGAATGAACTTTCTGCTTTCACCTAGGCCAGTTTGGCTCTGGAGAGCAGGGGCCTCCACAGCAACATCCTTGGGGGCCCTGAAATCGAGGTTCAGCTCCTCTGTGCCCTTAGGGTCTGGGTTCTCAGCCCTGTTGCCAAGTGGCTTTGTCCCAGCTCCTTTCTTCTGGGCCAGTGTGAGGGCATATGTTCATGCCAAGCTTCTGTTTTATATTGCAGATATAAATAAAGGAAGATAATTTACCATAAAGAAATAATTCTCTGAATATAAAGCCAGTCTTTCTAGAACATTTTTGATTTAGATGGGCCTCATGTGGGATTGTATGGGTTCCTGTGTTGAGATGTATGTGTTCCCTTCTACTTATTCAATTCTCAACTTAAAGCCTGTACAATGACTGTTTTCCACGTTGATCTGGTATAGTAGAAAGAAAAGAGCACCAGATTGTAGACCTAGAAAACCCTAGGTTTTTGCCTATACTGGGGTATATGGTCTCTAGCAGGTTACATACTCCTTGGAAGTTAGTTTTATTTCCTAGAATATTTAAGGCATTTGATTTTTATCATTCTTTGCAGTTGCCAAAGCTCTTTGATTTTATGATCTTACAAAGAGGAGTATTTCTATTCCAATTTTAAATTCCATTGACAAAAATCAAAGAACTTTAGAAGACTGCTGAAGAAATTTTCTAAAATTATTCACTATGCTTAGATGAGACTGTCTAATCTTAATCAACCAAGATCTGGCTCAATACCATTAAGGTCTGTGAGAATACAGAAGATATAAATAATACATGTTTTTTCCCTTAAGGAGCTTGGTTTAGTTCAGCAGCAAAACTAATGTACATTAAAAAAAACAAAAAACAAAAAAACCTACTGATTGTATTACAATCAGCTAAATAGAATGTGGAACATTTCATAGACAAAATCACCCAACTTCTTTAACAGATCAATGGTGTAAAAATAAATAAAAATGGGGAAATCTATTATACGTTAAAAGAACATAAGAGACCTCTCAGAAAGCAACCATGAGGGGAGGAGATGGGGTTAGGGGAAGCTTGTTTGAAACTTGATTCACAGCAACAAATTGTAAAGAGACAGTTGAGGAAAACTGCACATGACTTGGCTGTTAGATGTTATTAAGCATGTTATTAATTTTGTTAGATATGATCATGATTATTATGGTTAGGTTTAAATAAGAAAAAAAACTTTATGTCTTAGTGATACATCCTGAAGTATTTACAGGGACAATAATATGTTAGGTGGGGTTGTTTTAAAATACCGCAGAAAAAAATTATGGTAGTAAATGAGATAAGAGGAGCATATTGTTGATAATTGTTAAAGATGAGTGACTGGTACATGGGAGTTCATTGTACATATTCTTTTAGTACTTTTAGGTATGTTTGAAATTTTCTGTTGCAAAAACAGGCTTAATTTTTTTTTTCCTGGTTAGTGAAGCCCTAACTTGATTTGTATTTGTGTGATATAAATAGTACAGTCAATAAAGCTCAATGTAGCATGGCCTAAGTTGCAAGTTACACTTCGAGAAGGGACCCTCTGTCAAATCCCCTCACTGTACAGATTAAGAAACTGAAGGCCCCAAAAGGCAAGTGACTTGCCCAAGATCACATTGCTAGTTAGTAGCAGACCCCCTGTTAGAATTAGGTCTCGTGGTTTCCGGATTTCCTAGTTTGTTCTACTTACTCATCAAAGTTTTCCTTTATCCCTTTGTTATGATGATCTAAAGAATTTGTGAATTTTAAATAAAATTAATGTGTGCATGCAATTGTTTACCTTGCCTTGTTTATTTTCCTCAGAATCTGGGCAACCTATTTGTGGAAATGGAATGGTAGAACAAGGTGAAGAATGTGATTGTGGCTATAGTGACCAGTGTAAAGATGAATGCTGCTTCGATGCAAATCAACCAGAGGGAAGAAAATGCAAACTGAAACCTGGGAAACAGTGCAGGTACCTTGCTAATTTCAGTGATGTTAACATTCTTGTACAGTTACCTGAATGCAGTTGTGACAAATTTAAAATTGAGATGCATATGGTTTTGAAACTTTGCTTTTATTTGTTTTCTTTTTCTGAAATAGTGTTGGTTAGTGCTCTGTTATTGGCAGATTGAACTACTTTTCTTTTTCCTTTTCTTTTATTTGAGATAGGGTCTCACTCTATTGCCAGGCTGGAGTGCAGTGGCATGATGTCGGCTCACTGCAGCTTGCACCTCCCGGGCTCAATTGATCCTCCCACCTCAGCCCCCTGAGTAGCTGAGACTATAGGCATGTGCTGCCACACCCAGCTAATTTTTGTATTTTTTTGTAGACAGAGTTACGCCATTTGCCCAGGCTTGTTTGGACTACTTTTAATAGTAATTTGTGTAGTGAGTATTAACAAAAGGATATACTAAAAGGACATACTAAAAAGAATCCTAAAACATACATATTCTTTAGTTACTTATTGTGAAAATGTAACTATCTTCCATATTTTTAAAATCTTTAAATATTTGGTTAATGTGGAATCCATTTACTTTTCTAACTTGGCGAAATATAACTATTTCACTTATCAGATTTACTTTGGTAGCAGTGTAAGCAATTGTTTGTACAAGACTTTTTTTTTTTTTTTTTGAGATAGAGTCTCAAAAAAGCCTGTCGCCCAGGCTGGAGTGCAGTGGCATGATTTCAGCTCACTGCAACCTCTGCCTCCCAGGTTCAAGCATTTCTACTGCCTCAGCCTCCTGAGTAGCTGGGACTACAGGTGTGTGCCACCATGCCTGGCTAATTTTTTGTATTTTTAGTAGAGTTGGGGTTTCACTATGTTGGCCAAGTTGGTCTCGGACTCCTGACCTTCAAGTGATCTGCCCACCCTCCCCTCCCGAAGTGCTGGGATTAAAGGTGTGAGCCACTGCACCTGGCCACTTCAGTATGTTTTAAACGGCTGGTCTGTATATCCTAGTTTGATTTTAGCATGAAAATGTGAGAGAAAGTAATAAATTAACTAATGTGTGATGTAACTGAAAAAATACTGATAAATTGCCTAATATTCAATCCATTTTCCATTGTAGCCTTTTACTAAAGGTAAATAGGGCAAGAATGTGGAATGTAGTACGCTTTGACTATTAAAAAAAAAAAAAGACACTTAAACACTTTTCTTGACTGTTTGGTTCAGTAACTTCGTATTCCTTTTTTTTTTTTTTTGAGACAGAGTCTCGCTCTGTCGCCCAGGCTGAAGTGCAGTGGTGCCATCTCTGCTCACTGCAAGCTCCGCCTCCCAGGTTCACGCCATTCTCCTGCCTCAGCCTCCCGAGTAGCTGGGACTACAGGCGCCCTCCACCACGCCCAGCTAATTTTTTGTGTTTTTTAGTAGAGATGGGGTTTCACTGTGTTAACCAGGATGGTCTTGATCTCCTGACCTGGTGATCCGCCTGCCTCAGCCTCCTGAAGTGCTGGGATTACAGGCATGAGCCACTGCGCCCAGCCCCTATTCCATTTTTAATTGATAAATAATAATTGTACATATTTACGAGGTACATGTGATATTTTGATACATGCATACAATATATAATGATTATACAATATGTAAGATAATTAGGATATTTATCTCAGATATTTATCATTTCTTTGTCTTGGAAACATTTCAAATCTTCTACTTTGAAATTTACAATTAGTTATTGTTAATTGTAGTAACTTTACTGTGCGATCAAACACTAGAGCTCATTCCTTCTGTGTGTTTGTGACCATTAACCAATCTCTCTTTATCCACCTCCCCACTACCCTTCTCATCCTGTTGTAACCACCATTCAACTCTCTACCTCTATGAGATCAACTTACTTTGCTCTCACATATGAGTAACAACATGTGCTATTTGTCTTTCTAGGTCTGGCTTATTTTATTTAACATGATGACTTCTATTTCCGTTCCTGTTACTGCACTTGACAGTATTTTGCTCTTTTTTGTGATCAAGTATATACCACCTTTTCTTTATCCATTTGTTTTTTGGTGGACACTTAGACTGATTCTGTATCTTGGCTATTATGCATAGTGATACATAGGGCTGTTGGTATCCCTTTTGTATACTGACTTCCTTTTCTTTGGATGTATACCCAGCCGGATCATATAGTAGATCTATTTTTAGTTTTTAGAGGAACTTCTATACCAGTTTACACAGTGGCTATACTAATTTATATTCCCACTGGCAGTAAACTAATGGTTCCTGATCTGCACATCCTTACCAGCATCTTTGTTTGTTTATTTTTGATCATTTTGATAATGGTCATTTTAACTGAGTGTGTATCACCATGGCTTTGATTTGTGTTTCCCTGATGGTTAGTGATATTGAACATTTTTTCATGTATTTGTTAGTAATTTATGTGTCTTCTTTTGAGAAATGTTTATTTAGATCATTTGTCTACTTTTTAGTGAGATTATTTATTTTTTTGCTGTTGAGTTGTTTGAGTTCCTTGTACATTCTATCAGTCCTTAGTCAGATGAATAATTTGAAAATGTTTTCTCCCATTCAGCAGATTGTCTCTTCACTCTGTTGATTGTTTCCTTTTCTGTACAGAAGCTTTTTAGTGTGTGTAACCCTATTTGCCTGTTTTTGCTTTTGTTGTCTGTGCTATTGAGGTCTTACTCAAAAATCTTGGCTCAGATCAACGTCCTTATGTGCTTCCCCAGTGTTTTCTTTTAGTAGTTTCATAGTTTCGGGCCTTAAATTTATATCACATTTTGATTTGGTTTTGGTATGTGGTGAGACATAGGGGTCTAATATCATTTTTCTGCATATATATATATATATATATATATATACAGTTTTCCCATCACCACTTATTGAAGAGACTGTCCTTTCCCCACTGAATGTTCAAAAATCACCTTTGTCAAAAATCAATTGACTATAAATATATAGATTTTTTTCTGAGTTCTCTGTTCTGTTTCATTGGTTGATGTGTGTTTTTATGTCAGTATCATGCTGTTTTAGTTGCTATAGCTTTGTAGTATATTTTGAAATTAGGTGGTGTGATGCCTCCAGCTTCGTTCTTTTGGCTATTGGAGTCTTCTGTGGTTTCATATGACTTTTAGGATTGTTTTCTCTTTATCTGTGAAGAATGTCATTGGTATTTGGATAGGGGTTACATTGAATCTGTAGATTGCTTTTGGTAGTATGGCCATTTTCACAGTATTAATTCTTCCAGTCCATGAACATGAAATGTGGTTTTTGTTTTTTTTTTTTTTTGACTTGTTCAATTTCTTTCATTAGTGTTTTATGGTTTTCCTTGTAGAAATTTAATAAACTCACCTCCTTCTGTTTATTAAACTCACTCTTTTTTTGCAGCTATTATAAATGAGATTGATTTCTTTTTCTGCTATTTTCTTGTATATAGAAACACAACTGATTTTTTAATGTTAATTTTGTATCCTGCAACTGTTCTGAATTCATTTATCAATTCTAAGAGTTTTCAGTGGAGCTTTAAGGGTTGTCTATATATGTAAGATTATGCTGTCTACAAACAGGAACAGTTTGGCTTCCTTCTTTCCAGTTTGTATATCCTTTATTTTTTTCTCTTGCCTAATTGCTCTGGCTCAGAACTTCCATTACTATATTGATAAGAGTGGCAAGAGTGAACATTCTTTTCTTGTTCTAGTTCTTTTTTTTTCTTTTTTAATTTACCTGGTGATCAGGAAGTATTGTTGGGAGACTTTTTTTTTTTTTTTACTGATTCAATCTTGTTACTTGTGATTGGTCTGTCCAGGTTTTCTATTCTTATTTCAATCTTGGTAGGTCGTATGTGTCCAGGAATTTATTAATTTTCATTCGGTTTTCCCATTTATTGGCATATAGTTTATTGTAATGGACTCTAGTGATTCTTTGTATTTATGTGGTATCAGTTATAATGTCTCCTTTTTTGTTTCTGATTTTATTTGGATTTTTTTCCTTGTCTGGTTAATGGATTGTTGATTTTATCTTTCTAAGAAACCAACTGTTCGTTTTGTTGATTTTTTTTTTTTTTTGAGACGGAGTCTCGCTTTGTTCCACAGACTGGAGTGCAGTGGCGCAATATTGGCCCACTGCAAGCTCTGCCTCCCGGATTCACGCCATTCTCCTGCCTCAGCCTCCTGAGTAGCTGGGACTCCAGGTGCCCACCACCACTCCTGGCTAATTTTTTTTGTATTTTTTAATAGAGACAGAGTTTCACCGTGTTAGCCAGGATGGTCTCGATCTCCTGACTTTGTGATCCATCCACCTCAGCCTCCCAAAGTGCTGGGATTATAGGCATGAGCCACCGCGCCCAGCCTGATTCTTTGGATTTTTTTTAGTCTCAATTTTGTTTATTTCTGCTCTGATCTTTATTATTTCTTTTCTTCTAATTTGTGGTTTGGTTTGTTCTTGCTTTACTGATTCCTTGAGGTGCATTATTAGGTTGTTTATCTTTCTACTCTTTCTATGTAGACATTTATTGCTATAAACTTCCCTCTTAATATTGCTTTAGCTGTATCCCATAGTATTTGGTATGTTGTGTTTTTCTATTTTTAGTTGTTTCAGAGAGCTTTTAAACTTCATTTTTAATTTCTTCAGCGACTCATTGGTTGTTCAGAAGCAAGTTGTTTAATTATGTGTTTGTACAGTTTCTAAAGTTCCCCTTGTGATTGATTTCTAGTTTTATTCCGTTGTGTTCAGAAAAGATACTTGATATGATTTCTGTTTTTAAACATCTGTTGATAATGGTTTTATAGCCTAATAGGTGGTCTGTCCTGGAGAAGGTTTCATGTGCTAATGAAAAGAATGTATATTCTGCCATAGCTGTTGGATGAGTGTTCTGTAAATGTCTGTTAGATCTATTTGGTCTAAAGTGTAGTTCCAATCCAGTGTTTCTTTCTTGATTTTCTGTCTAGATCATCTGTCCAGTGCTGAGAATGGACTGTTGAAGTCTCCAATCATTGCTTTATTGGAGTTGATCTCTCTCTTTAGATCTAATGGTATTTGCTTTATGTATCTGGGTGCTTTGGTGTTAGGTGCATATAGATTTAGAAATGTTATGTCCCCTTGCTGAATGGAACATTTAATCACTATATAATGAGCTTTTTTGTCTCTTTTCACAGTTTTTTTTGGAGACAGGGTCTTGTTCTGTCACCCAGGCTTGAGTGCAGTGGCATGATCTCAGCTCACTGCAACCTACACCTCCCGGGTTCAAGTGATTCTCCTGCCTCAGCCTCCCAAGTAGCTGGGACTACAGGCATGCATCACCATGCCCGACTAATTTTTATATTTTTAATATAGATGGGGTCTCGCCATGTTGGCCAGGCTGGTCTTGAACTCCTGACCTCAGGTGATCTGCCCGCCTCGGCCTCCCAAAGTGCTGGGATTACAGGCGTGAGCCACCGCACCTGGCCCTCTTTTCACAGTTTTTGACTTAAAATCTGATTTATCTGATACAGGTATAGCTACTCTTGCTTACTTTATTTCTGTTTGAGTGAAATATCTTTTTCCATTCCTTTACTTTTAGTCTATATATGTCTTTACAAGTAAAATGATTTTCTTGTAAGCAGCCTATAGTTGGGTGTGTCATGTGTTTGGGAGGCCGAGCTGGGAGTTTTGCTTGAGCAGGAGTTCAAGACCAATGTAGGCAACATAGTGAGAACCGATTTCTACAAATGAATACATAAATCATTTAAAAGCTACAGAGGGGGAAGAGATTACAGTAGACCCATTCAGCCAGGTTGTGTCTTTTAAGTAGGGGGATTTAATTGGTGTATATTCATGATTGATATCAATAGGTGAGGACTTCCTCTTGTCATTTTGATAATTTTTTTTTTTTTTTTGAGATGGAGTCTTGCTTTGTAGCCCAGGCTCGAGTGCAGTGGCACAATCTCGGCTCACTGCAAGCTCCGCCTCCCAGGTTCTCCTGCCTCAGCCTCCCGAGTAGCTGGGACTACAAGTGCCCGCCACCACGCCCAGCTAATGTTTTGTATTTTTAGTAGAGATGGGGTTTCACCGTGTTAGCCAGGATGGTCTCGATCTCCTGACCTCATGATCTGCCCGCCTCAGCCTCCCAAAGTGCTGGGATTATAGGCATGAGCCACTGCGCAAGGCCTTCCTTTTTTTTTTTTTTTGCATATTCATTCTTCCTTTTTTTCTCTCATTCAGCATTGTGGTTTGGTAGTTTTCTGTAGTAGTAACATTTGACTCTTCTTTTTCTCGTTTGTGTATCACAGTGGCCTGCGCTGTACAGCTTTGCAGTAATGGCGGCAGTGGTGGTGTAGGTTGTTAGCATTATAATTCTGTGTGTTTTCATAATGGTGATTATTGGTTTCTTTTGCTTCCAGGTGCAGGACTCCCTTGAGTATTTCTTGTAGGGTCAGTCTAGTGGTGATTAATTTCCTATTTTTGCTTGTGTGGGAAAGACTTTATTTGTCCCTCATTTCTGAAGGATAGTTTTGCTGGGTATAGACTCTTGGCTGCTAATTTGTAAACTATCCTTCAGAAACGAGGGACAAATAAAGTCTTATAGATTCTTGGCTGCCAATTTGTTTTTTCTTTCAGTGCTTTGAACATATCCTATTCTCTCCATGCTGGTGAAATTTCTGCTGAGAAATCTGCTGCTAGTCTAATAGATATTCCCTTATATGTGACTTGATACTTTTCTCTTGCTGTTTTTTTAGAATTCTCTTTGTCCTTGACTTTTTACAGTTTGACTATAAATCCTCAAGGCAGACCTCCGTTTTCAGCTATTATTTTAATAAATAGGTTTTCTTTTTTTCTTTCTTTTTTTTGAGACAGTCTCACTTCATTACTCAGGCTGGAGTGCAGTGGTACAGTTTCAGCTCACTGCAACCTCTGCCTTCCAAGTTCAAGCGATTCTTGTGCCTCAACCTCCTGAGTAGCTGGAATTACAGGTGCGCGCCACCCTACCCAGCTAGTTTTTCTCATATTTTTAGTAGAGACGGAGTTTCAAGCTCGTGACCTCAAGCGATCCATCCGCTTTGGCCTCCCAAAGTCTTGGGATTACAAGCATGAGGCAGCACACCCAGCCAAAACATAGGTTTTCTGTGCCTATTTTAATCTCTTCTCCTTCTGTAGCTTTTAAATGATTGATTGATTGATTGCAGAGATGGGATCTCACTACATTGCCTAGGTTGGTCTTTAACTCCTGGGGTAAAGTGATCCTGCCACCTCAGCCTCCCAAAGTTCTGGCATTACAGGCATGAGTTACTGCACCCAACCTTCTGCAGCTCTTGTAATATGAAAATTTATTCACTTTGTGGTGTCCCATAAGTCTTACAGGCTTTCTTCCTTTTTTTTTCCTTCCCCTAAATGAGTAATTTCAAACATTCTATCTTGAAGTTCAGAGATTTTCTTTTGCTTGATCAAGTCTGCTGTTGAAGTTCTCTATTATGTATTTTTATTTTATTCATTGAATTCTTAAGCTGCAGAAGTTTTGTTTCTACTTAATAATATCTATTACTTTTTTGAATTTCTCATTCATATTAATTGTTTTCCTAATTTCGTTGAATTTTTTATCTATATTTTCTTGTGTCTTTTCCCTCAAATCATCATTTTGAATTCCTTTTTAGGCAATTTATTGATTTCCTTTTCATTGGGACCTGTTGCTAGAGAGTTAATTATGTTCCTTTGGTGGTGTCATATATATTTGTTTTTTCATGTTTCTCGAATCCCTGTGTTGATGTCTGTGTACCTGTCTGGTGGAACAGTCATCTCATGTAAATTGTCTATAGTGGCTTTCGTGGAGATACACTCTCACCTGTAGCTGGATCTTAGTGTACTGGTAGGGAAGGGTGTGATGATTCTGTTTCCAGGTAGGTGCAATGGTATAGTCTCCATGCAGCTTCTTCAGCTGTATTCAACATCATCAATAACTGTAGGCACCTCAGTGACTTGTGCTGTAGAAGTTTGTGGTAATGGATGCTGGTGGTGTAGGTTGTTAATGTCCTCAGTGGCAACGACTTTTGGGGCCCTCCTATTCTCATTTTTCCCATAATGGTGAGACTTAGCCAAGGGGATCCCTCTTGATGTCAGGTCTGACATGGCCTACAAGCACCTGCTGCGGTGCTGGCTTCCAGTTGCAGATGCGCATAGTAACTATGGGGCTGGAGTTCTAGGCTCAGGATCTCACAAACCTATTATGGTACTTGTGTCTTGCAGTGCATGTTTACTGTCTGTGGCAAGATTGAATGTAGGTTGCCTATAGCACCAGGATCTATGACTCTGGTTACTCCCTAGCAGCTTGGGCCTAGCAGGCCAGTCTGTAGCTGTGATTATACACTTTGTGGGCAGGGCATAGCCCTGGTTTGAGTCCAGGAAAGAAGAGATGCTCTGGAGATTTGAGCCCAGAGCCCAGTGCATGGCAGTAATTTCGGAGCCTGAGCGAATAGGACTCAGTGGCGAGTTGGGTCACTGGGGATGGAGGTGTTGGTGAGTCTAGACCCTGGGATGGTGGGGCTTGGTGGTATCCCAGAGTCTGTGAGACCAGGTGCAGCAACAGCAAGTACCTCAGAATGTTCAATCAAGCACAGCTGTCGTTTGGGCCCTAGGAGGCAGGGAGCAGCACAGTGATGACTGCTCTGGGGAGAAGTGTGTCTCAGCAGCTCAGACTCTAGGGGGCTAGTCTAGCTCCAGGGAAGCAGGGTGCTAGAGTTGTTCGGCCTGTAGGCATAGTATCCCAGTTCAGCCATTGATATTTCCCTGGGTTGTGAGTTATTGTGTTGGCTTAGCCCTGGAATGCACAGCTCCTCAACTTGGCCAAGGCATTGTTACCTGAAGGAGCAATGTGCTGCTTTATCTCGTGCCCTGCAGGGTGTGACTTTTCCGGTAGGCCCAGGCACTGTTTCTTTGGGACACACGGCTCTACCAGTGCACTGTTTACTCAGGAGGCAGTGTGCAGTTTCAGGTTATTGAAGTTGTATACCAGTAACATACTTATCATTCAAATGATGAGACTTATGATTTAAAAATTGGTACTGTGTCTGATAATGTGGATCTAATCTAATATCTAATAGTATATAGGAAATAACTAGTGATTTACTTTGTTTAATCACTTAATGTTTCTTCTAGTCCAAGTCAAGGTCCTTGTTGTACAGCACAGTGTGCATTCAAGTCAAAATCTGAGAAGTGTCGGGATGATTCAGACTGTGCAAGGGAAGGAATATGTAATGGCTTCACAGCTCTCTGCCCAGCATCTGACCCTAAACCAAACTTCACAGACTGTAATAGGCATACACAAGTGTGCATTAATGGGGTAAGCATTTAACTATATGTTTTTAAATTTAATTTTAGAAAACTTGTTTCTCAGAAGAATTATTGATGCTTAAAGCTACATAGTTAAAGTAATTAATCTTGGTCTCTGTTTAAGTAATATCCCTATCTATTCCCTCACAAAACTATGAGTATATTATGTAGCATTCAATTAACTACTAATTTGTTTTTCATCTTCCCATGTACATGTGGTTGATATTCTCAAGAGAAACATAGTTGTACAACTCGGCATGTGACTTGTCTATAATATTTAAGTTTTATAAAACAATATTTCAGTAGCCTAAATAAAAGAACTCCTTGGTCATCTTCTCTGAATTTGAAACCTTTAAAGCTTTTGTGGCTGAATATCACTTTGCTCTACATGAAGAAAATTTAATTTGTCTTGCTTTATAGAAGAGCCATAATAACCAACATAAAATCGATTCTCATCTAATCTATTTCTCTGCTTTTATTTCATTTTTTAAAGTTGCCATTCCTTTAAAAGATTTACTGTCTTACTTGGATTTACTGTTTTTCAGTTTTTTTCAAATGTATTTAGGTAATTCAGTTTTGATACTCAACTCTGTTTGTTTTTCACTTTTATATCCATTTAAATATTTTGACATTGGAAGTTTATACTTGGCTGTCTATTACTATAAACAATAGGTTTGACTGTATAGGGATTAAATAAATTGTCTTTTATTTTTCTTCTAGCAATGTGCAGGTTCTATCTGTGAGAAATATGGCTTAGAGGAGTGTACGTGTGCCAGTTCTGATGGCAAAGATGATAAAGAATTATGCCATGTATGCTGTATGAAGAAAAGTAAGGCTTTTAAAAGTACAAGAGTATAAAATTTGCCTCAAACTATTATTTTCTCCTAAATTTTAAGTGTTAAACTTTGACCTGTAGTTTGGCCAGATAGTTTCCAGCTCAATCTGTCCTCTTGAGGAGATTATAAATGTAACATAGCATTGTGTCTCTATCATTATGGTCTCTACGATGTTTTAAAAATCATAAACTAGACAAAACATTGCCAGCTTTACAGTAATAATTTACATAAACACTGTTAGACTTTAAGTCATTGTGGACACTAAATCAAGACTTTGCTGGTTGCTTGTTGACATTGTAACATTTAATGTGAATTACTAATGGCATTACCCAGCCTAACTAGAGAAGGTCTATATAACACGTTATGGTAATGATTTCAGACATTTTTTTTTCCCTCTTTATATTTCCCCAACTGGAAATCTGATCTTCAACTTATATTTGAATCTGATCTTCAGCTTATATTTGGCATTTCTTTTCCAGTGGACCCATCAACTTGTGCCAGTACAGGGTCTGTGCAGTGGAGTAGGCACTTCAGTGGTCGAACCATCACCCTGCAGCCTGGATCCCCTTGCAACGATTTTAGAGGTTACTGTGATGTTTTCATGCGGTGCAGATTAGTAGATGCTGATGGTCCTCTAGCTAGGCTTAAAAAAGCCATTTTTAGTCCAGAGCTCTATGAAAACATTGCTGAATGGATCGTGGTAAGTATAGTTTTTATTTACAAAGAAAACTTAAAGTGGTTTCATCTTAATTTTACTTGGCCAGAAGTCATCAAAGTTATGAGAAAACAACTTAACTATTTATATTAGAATGACTTTATATGAATATTTCTGGTTATTATTTCCTTCTGAAGTGATCAGAATAATGTGTATCATTCATAGATTGCTTGGTAGGTGATGGGAGTCATTCTGTTTTACTGCGTTCCTTAGTTCATCTCCTGGATGGGTTACTTCTTTTGGTGCATATAGGGCATTTTTATGGGACTTTAAAAAGTTTTTTTTTTGTTGTTGTTTTTCAAGACAACTTATTTGCCCAAATCATGGACTAATTGGTGATTTTTCCTGATCTTTCAGTATAATCTCTGCGTCTTCATCTTGTTTGTAATAGGAAATGTTGAACAGAGTAAGATCAGATCCACAGCCTTTTGTAGATCTACTAATGATTATGGACGTTCATCCAGTAGTAATCCACTGAATGCTTATTTTTAAGCCCACTTATCTCCAAGTTGTACAAACATGGAATTACCTGATGTTTTCTTAAAAGATTGTCAAGAATGACTGTCTCAGCTTACTTAACTGTTCCTGCTTTAAAAGTGATTACATTAAAATATCTATAGGAAGCTTGCAGATGATATATTTGAGAATGTGCTATAATTGACCTGAAAGTAGTTTGCTTTGGAAATTGACTTATAACTCAGATTCCCCTTTCTCAGATTATTTGTGTGTGTGTGTGTGTGTGTGTGTGTGTGTGTATGTGTGTTCAGGACTATGGATGCCTTAAAGCACAAAAGATGTTGTTTGGGATGTCACTCTTTTTTGATACTCTTCTAATAACATTCTAGAGTAAAAATTTTATAGTTACCTCCAGCATTTAAAATGATGTTTACCATTCCTAGGACACTTTAGGATATGTGGTTTTTAGATATGTAATAATCATGGAGTAGAAGGATTGTTGAAATTGGATTTAGGAGATCTTCGTAGGTTTCAAACCAAATACTTGAGCAGTTGACTTAACTTAGGTTTCCTTAAAACATGTTACTCTCTTTTTTTTTTTAATTCCTGTGCTTATTGCATAGTAAGTTCTAGTAAATACCTGTCAAACTGAACTTCTCTTCTGGTACAATGGTATAGTGGAAAGAGCACAGGTTTGAGAATCACGTAAGGATTCAAATAATCTTTCTGGCATTTATCAATTCTATGACTTCAAGCAACTTACCTTTCTTGGCCCTTCTTTATTTTCAACTCAGCTTTTTTTTTTTTCCCCCTGATTATATCTAATAAGAAAAGTTGAAATTTGGTATACTTGTCTACTATAGCGGACAGTGTATGCAGAAAAGGAAAGGGGATCTCAGAATTACGTTCTACTGAGTATATATTGTGCTAGATACTTTGGATTTTTGGGGTACTAAATCATATCATCTAAACATAGTATTTTTTCACTTTTCTCTGTTAGCTCTAATTTTGACTCATTACATTATTTAGAATTTCAAGTGCTCATTTATTTTCACTTTAAAAATATCTAACAGACATGATCTTCTAAGGATTTTTAAGACCTTTTCTCCTCGTATTTTAGATGTGAGGATTAATGAAATGTTTCACAATGAATTGGCAACATGAAGTCTTTTCTTGTGCTCTAGAACTAATTAATCAGACACTTTCACGTTTATAGACATTGACTTTAAGTGTGTGTAGGGTAGAACATACCTTTATTTTATATCATCGTTGACAGTCATATGCCAGTCTTCCGAATAGCATGCTCATAATGTGTGAAGAATACCGCTAGGCTGTTGGTGCATTTGTGGGCATTAACCACATCAAGCAGTAAGATAATAAACATCCACTTCTTTGCAAGTTACTTGTCTCATTTGCTTATGTGCATAGTTTACTTGCATACCAGGGTTTATCATGATAGCAAAGTGCCCTTGCAGTTAGTAATACAGATTATCAGGATGCTGTGGTGTAAGAAGCTGTGAAAGAAGTGAGGGGTTAGTTTCACTACTTTCCTTTCCAGTGGTGTCTGGTGGCCTTTTGTCTTCTTTCTGTGGTACGCTATGGCAGCTTTTCTCCTCATGCAGGGTAGAGTAAGAAGAACTTTAACAGCCGGGCGTGGTGGCTCACACCTGTAATCCCAGCACTTTGGGAGGCCGAGGTGGGCGGATCACAAGGTCAGGAGATCGAGACCACGATGAAACCCTGTCTCTACTAAAAATACAAAAAATTAGCCGGGCGCGGTGGCAGGCGCCTGTAGTCCCAGCTACTCAGGAGGGTGAGGCAGGAGAATGGCGTGAACCCGGGAAGCGGAGCTTGCAGTGAGCTGAGATCGCGCCACTGTCTGGGCGACAGCGTGAGACTCCGTCTCAAAAAAAAAAAAAAAAAGAACTTTAACAATTTAGAACTTCAGTGCATGGGTTATTGACTGCTGCTACTGGTACCATGGAAGCGATACTTTCTTTTTTGTGTTGACAACTATGTTTTGATTTTTCCAAATATATTTACTGTATTTGCTGAGTGCCTGATGTGTGTCTGGACAGGAGAAAATGATAAACATCCTTTGGACTTATCAAAGAGTCATCTAATTCTTGAAACGTTTAAGAGCATTCATCAGTGAATCTGTTGAGACCTTGTTTCGGCATCTCCTTTTCTTTAATTAGGGATTGAGGGCAGTGGTAATTCATTTCCAGTTTCTTCTGTAGTTAATGTGTTCTGATTTTCTGTATCTTTCATGTTAGGTTTGACATTGTAGAAAACCACCTCTTACCTTGACTTTTTTTTTCAAATTTATTGTTGTGTTTCCCCTCCTTTTAAAAATCATTGCCTGATAATTTTGTGGCATTTTTCTTTTTAATTTGTATGGATTTATCAGGAGTGTGTATTTTTTTATTGCTAGTTTTTCAAGAGTCAAACACCTTCTCATTTTAAAATTAATTTCCACTGTCATATTTTGCTATAATTTTATGCATCTAAGTATTAAGTGTCTGGTATTCTTTATGAATGAAAGATTTAGAGCACCGTTTCCCAAATGCTTAACAGAACACTAGTCCCATTAGATGTTCTAAGGCTTCAATGGTCAAATGAATCTGGAAAACACTGCTCCATACTATAGACCTTTCTTGGAGATTCGTGAAAAGATTATAAGAAGTCCTGCAATAAATAAATATTTTAAACTTCATTTTCCAAACTTACCTAACCCTAGAACCTTTTATCGTGAAAAGACTTAAGTCGTAAATATCCTTAGATGTCATTTGGGAAAATATTGATTAATAGCGGTAGTTCTCAATCCTGGTTGTATACCAGAATCACCCTGGGGTTTGGACTAATTAAATCAGAATCTCTTGGGTTTAAGTATCTGGGTCTTACAAAACTCTCCAGTTAATTCTGATGAAGAGCCAGGGTTAAGAACCACTCATCTAGAATGGGGTTGGCAAACTATGGCCCATGGGCCAAATCTAGCCCATGTCAATTTCTGTGTGGCTCAGAAGCTAAGAACAGTTTTTACGTTTTTAAATGATTGAAAAAAAAAATTTAAATTATCAAAATAACAGTCTTTTAAAAATCATATGAAATTCAAATTTCTGTATTGTTAAACAACAATTTATTGTAAAATGGCCACACCCATTTGTTTACACATTGTCTGTGGCTGCTTTGGCACTTTGAGTGGCTGCGATAGTGACTGTATGACCCCACCAAACCTAAAATGTTTATCTGGGCTTTTATGGGAAATACTTGCCAACTCCTGATTGAGAGAGATGATCTCAAAGTGTAGGCCTGAGAAGTAGCATCAGCATCCCCTGGGAACTTCATAGAAATGCAAATTCTCAGGTTCCATTCCAGACCCACTGAGTCAGTGGTTGAGGGTGCATGCTAATAGTTTGTCTGCCTTTTTTTCAGTCTCTGCGATATGATGACTCCTTTTTAAAAAGATTTGTAACAGAAATTTTCCATTTTGTCATCCTGATATGTTGAAAATAGAAGGTGGTTTTCATTGCTTTGTGGAACAGGCCACATAGATAGCATAGCACTTATGAAACTTTAACAACAAAGATATAATATTATTGGAGGGTTTTTAGCATATAGTGAGGACACAGTATACATCTGCTAGATGAGTGAAGCGGATTTCTCAAATGTAATAATTTATATGGAAAAGAGTAAAAATTGTGCATATTAACTTTGAAACTGGAATGTTTTCGGGTTCCTGTTAGTGAGATTTTATCTTACTTGCCCTGGCTGAGCTTGAAGTAACCAAAAGTTTAGTAGCAAGTTGCTTTCTGCTTGGCAGATTGCCGTTGCTGCTGCTGCTAGTGGTGGTGGTGGGAGTTTGAAGGATAGGAGGAGTATATGGTCAAAGTCCAGACTGCCCCTATAGGGATGACATACTCAGTATCATGACAAGGAACTGTGGGCCCCACATGGTCTTGTGACCCATGGAAACTCAAGAATGCATTTGCTGAGAGTGAGCATTGTTCATCACTGGAGTATTCATTGAAAGGAGTATATGGTTGACTTTCTAGAGGTCTTTAAGAACAGTAGATTATCTTATGTCTGAAGAGACTTGAGTGCATGTGTTCCCTGTCCTCGCTCGTGCACTTTTTTTAGATGATACTTGCTTTATCGTTTTGTTACCATACAGGTTTTTTTCTTTTTGTTTATATTTAGATTATCATATTAAATACTATTGTAATTAAGACATAATAAATTAGACTTTAATTTTGACTTTTTACTTTATTATTGGCTATGTTTAAGTGCCTGTATTAAACATCATCTCTCTGTTTCTTATGTAGAATTATTTTCTGAGTTGAAAAACTTCTTGAGTTTTTGAAAAATGGTTGGATGTCTTCTCTTTGTCCCTAAAGTTTTGCTTAACACCCTTGTCTCTGAGATATAAGACCCTGGCAGTCAGTTTACACTCAGTAAATGTTCATTGAATGAATGACAGCTCCCCTTTCATTCAGACTAACAGGTGGGCAATTTGTGATCTTTTCTTT